GAAACGCTTTTTAGATGTTTCCGGTAAACAAATAGAAGTGTTGACGGAATTGCGAATAGAAGCACCGACGTGGGCGCTGAGCTGGCGTTGGGTCAGATACCCATGTTCGGTGGACCCGGACCCGGTTCAATACATGAAACTGAAAGTAATTCTTATAAGCACACTGATGATAAGTTGACAACTTGTACGTTTAAGATAATTTATTCTTTGTTAGTAAATTTATTTATTTTTATTTTTGTGAGTGGTAAATTTATTTTATAAATAGTATTTTGGATATAAATATATGTTTTTATAAATTAAATTTCTAAATTCTAATATATGTAATCATTTAAAACAAAATGCTAATTTGATTTTTAAATAAATTATAATTTTATATAATTAGATCGGCTAATTCACTTTTATACCGTTTGGTATTTGTTTGATTCATTCCATTTCTTGATTTCTATTGCTTAACCAAATTAATCACATGACATTAAATCATTTATTAGGACATGCGTATGAAAGACAAATGATTAATCTCTTCTTATGCTCAAAGCTTTCGCTTCCATTGCCAAACTTCTCTTATCAAGTTGTAGTAACCAAAGTTGAGTGATTCATTCAATTTATTAGATGTTTGATACATCCGATTTATTATCATCTAATCCACTTCATTTAGAATCTATAAATAAAGTCTGCATTACAAAGTAACCCCTGACTTCAAAAAATTGCCAAAAATTATTCCATGATACAGCAACATTACAGACTGAAATTCATCGTTTTGGTTTAACATCGTGTGCAGCAAAAAAAAACAATCAAACTTATTTTCAAATTTTCTCTATTATACACCCGAAAAAGAAGTTTTCTTTATAAGTCACCACATCAACACAGTTCTGTTTTTAACAAACGAGACTTATTACACTGTTTATTTAGCACACAGGTTTCAAAAGTACCCAGACTTAATTAATCATCATCGCCGGTGATCTCCACCACTCTCACGTTGCGGTTCTCCTCGATCTCCGGCGGCGACGGTGAAGAAGTACCATCTTTCGCGACGAACACGACGAGGAACCCATCCTCCATCCACGCCGTCACCTGATCCGTCAAAGCGTTGTCGGGAAGCTTGAATCTGCTCATGAATTTGTTGTCTCCCGTGCAGATCTGGAGGTATCCTTCGTCGTCAACGAACACGATCGCTTCGTCCTGAGTCGTTCCCGGAAGATAGGCTTTGAAAACGTGAGCCGTCGGAGTCTCCGTCCAGTTGAGCTGGGTTTCGACGGTGGATGGAGAAGAGAAGGGGGAGAGGTCTCGGGAAAGTGAAGGAAAGTGGCGAGAAAGCGGGAGGATTGGTGAGGGAAAATCGAAGAAGGTGTTCATGAGTTCAAATGGCTCCCAGATTCTATCGCCGGGAGAGAATCTCCGGCGATCGTTGATTGGAATTATCGACATTTTCTTCTACTCGAGTGATAAGTGGAGCTGAGAGCTACACTATAATAAATCTTCAAGCAAGTTCTAGAGTTTTCTTGAAGAGATGAGAAGAGTAACCGAACATAGAGGTTGGAAGTAAAAGCCCAATGGGCTTTACACAAAAGCTTTTTTCTTTCTTTTTCAAGCTAGGGAACCCAAAATCCGAAAATCTCAAGGATTTGGTTTTTCAAGAAATGTCCTGATGGAAAGTATTTTAGATATTGGATACTATCTGATTTGAATTTAACAGATATCCAAAATTTCAAAATTAAAAAAAAAAAGGTTATAGTTTTTACAAAGTTTGCAGTAACTCAGATATTAATCTAAACTGAACCTGACTCAAAGATTAAAAATATTTTAATGGAAGTTATGAACATAGTACCAAAAACCTGAGTTTAGTTTGCGTCAGATAAGTCCTTTCTAATTGTATAGCTGAAACAGTCTGGGATATTCTAAGCTCTTTCAAAAACAGTCGCATTCATTGTAAAAAACATTTTTTTAAGAAAAAACTTGAATCCAATTTAACATTCATTCAAGGTAACCCATGGTTTAAGCAATATTCAGACAAGTTTTAACTTCTGTGTATTAATCAAATGTAGAACGGACTTGCTTAATGTTTTTTTTTTTTTTTGTAAATGGACTTGCTTAATGTTTATTTATTGTGCTAGTTGATTGATAGTAAAAGAAGAAATGAACATGTCGAAGCAAAAAGTAAGAAGGAAAATAAAAAAACAGAATACATAAAACTACTCAAGCGAGGAATCAATCTTCCGTACGGTTCTTGAGAAAGCAAGAATGTCCTCCGGCTTACGAGCGTTATCACCTCCGTCTCTGTTACCGTCGACGCTTCCGCCTTCAACTATGGATTCGCGAACGATCGCTCTGACCGTGTCTTCGGCCTTTCCTGCATCACTGTTGACGGCAGATTCGTCTCTCCTCTTGTTATGTTCATTTTCCATTCTTTCTTTCGTTGCCTCCATCTCTGTTTCTCTCTATCAGCTCTCCCAACGCTTTCTTGTTTCTTTTTAACACTTTTAGATTCAATATGCGAGCTTCGATGACACGTCACACGTTAAATATGTTAACGTGGCGGTGTCTGGTGTGAAGGTCTTCTTCCAAAAGGATTCGTGGACGATGAGTCAAATGAAAAAGATTACAAGAAAACCCTCAAACATTTGATTTATTTACGAAAATTTACATTCTTAGAAGAAGTTTTAACTTTCATTATCTGATAAACATCTTTTATCAATACCGTATATGTGAATCAATTGCCATCAAAATTGTTATTAAAGATTCTTTGTTTACATTGAGGAGGGTCACTTTTAAAATTTTAATATCACTAGAGATTTTTCCGGACTACGTCTGAGTTTTAACAAATATATATTTTTAAAATAGTAATAATGCATATTTATTATAAAATATAAATCATTATTAAAAATCAAAATTTGTTGTATTTTCAATATCCAAAATATACATATCACTATAAGAAAACTCGTCCATTACTAGGGCAGGTTTTCCTCGTTAGTTCCTAGTAAATGGCATTTTACTAGGAACTTACGAGGAAACGCGTTTCGTCGAAACACGTTCATCGTAAAGCCTTTTTCCTCGTAAAGTCGTAGTAACCACTTTCCTCGTAATTTCCTAGTAACCATTTTCCTCATAATTTCCTAGTAACCACTTTCCTCGTAATTTCCTAGTAACCACTTTCCTCGTAATTTCCTAGTAATGCTTTACTAGGAATTTACTTCGAAATGTTTTTCCACTTTCCTGGTAATTTCCTAGTAATGCTTTACTAGGAATTTACTTTGAAATATTTTTTCCTATTAAAAAAATAATTAAAAGAAATATAAATAATATATTTAAAAAAATTAAAGAATCCAAATTATAAATAAAAAGAAATAACAAAATATTTTATAAATAACTAAATATTTAAGTTTTAAATTCATATACAATTAAAGAGAAAAAAAAACTAAACTACGGATGTTGCTCGTTAAAATTGACGAACGAAGTCGTCATCCCGACTCGATAACTAGTATCATTAATATACTAGTATCATTTAAAAAAAACAGTTAAAAAAATTAAATTAACCTAATCTAAATTCCCTAAACTAACCACCTAATCTAAATTCCCTAATCTAACCACCTAATCTAAATTCCCTAAACTAATCACTTAATCTAAATTCCCTAATCTAACCACCTAATCTAAATTCTCTAATCTAACCACCTAAGTAGGAAATAGAGAGAACCTTAAGAGAATTCAGAGAGAAGCTTACTACAAATGAGAAATCGGATTGCTCGAGTTTATATAAGGAATTTTGTTTCCCCGTAAGGCCCTAGTAACATTACTAGGCCTTTACAAGGAAATAGCTATACCCGTGTTTTTATTTCCTCGTAAAGTCCTAGTAATACCATTACTAGGACTTTACGAGGAAACTGTTTTACTAGGAAATAGCTATGCCCGCGTTTTTTTCCTCGTAAAGTCCTAGTAATGTTATTACTAGGACTTTACGAGGAAACAACTATGCCCACGTTTTCTCTTACTAGGGCTTTACGAGGAAATGGTTTGTAAATCCCTAAACTCGAAACCCCAAACCACAACTTCCTTAACTTATAACCTCTTCTACAACCAAACTCCTAACCTCTTCTACACCTAAACCCCAAATTTTCAAAACTAAACAACCTAATATAAGTTCCCTAAACTAACCACCTAATCCAAATTCCCTAAACCCTAACCTTAAACCTAAACCCTAAACCTAAACCAACTTCCATAACTTATACCTATACATCTTCCTAAACCCCAAATTACAATTTTTTTATAAAAAAATAAAAGAAGTATACAGTCATCAGAACGGTTTTTATCAACCCCACATAGCTTTCCTCGAACTATTTACCTGAAGAAAAGCTCCAAGCTATTTCTTTGAGGAAAAGCTATGAGGAGTTGATAAGAAACTATTATGTTGACTGTGAACTTCTTTCAGTTATGAATTGAGTATTTTTTATTTGTTTGGTGTGTTTCAAATGAATCACATATGGTGGTATTTATAGAAATTTTCGAATCTGAGAATTTACTAAGAAATTGCTAGGAAAAGTAGGTAGAAAATTTAAATTCGATATTTTCTATCTAGTTCCTCTTAATTTCGTAGTAACAAAACTCATTCCTCTTAATTTCGTAGTAAGCAATTACTAGGACTTTACGAGGATACTGCTTTACTAGGAAATAGCTATGTCCGCGTTTTTTTCCTCGTAAAGTCCTAGTAATGTTACTACGACTTTACGAGGAAACTGTTTTCTCGTAAGTATACGAGAACCTTACGAGGAAACATGTTTCCTCGTAAACTCGAAGTAAACTCGTAGTAATTTTACGAGGAATTATTTTCCTAGTAAAGTTTCCTAGTAAATGTTTAGTTTTCTTGTAGTGTATGGAATAGTGAGAAAGAAGTTCGAAACGAATGAAACTTGATTAAATTTTAGTTATGATCCAAAATACTTTTTTATCTTACATATTTAATTTCTCGTAAAATAGTGTTAGTTACAGTTGATTCAATTTTGTTTTGGTTTTATAATCAATTGGTGTAATTTTTAATAATAATCAAGTACCTATGTAAAGCTAGGTTCTTACAATCTATATGAGTTTATAACAGTGCCGTGCGAAGACCTTTACGGACGTGAGGCCAATAAAAAACAAATCATAAATTTTATGTAGTTTAAAATATTACAATTTTATCTTCAATAATTAAAAATTACAGAAATGTCTCTATCAATAAAAAGCATATGAAAATATGAAATTAAAAAGGTAAATTTATAAAAGATTCAAAGATTATCTGTTATAAATAACTGTTAATTTATGCCAAAATATAACTACTATAATAAAAAAATTATAAACATAATCAAGTTAAATAATAAGAAAAAGATAATAATTATGAAAGAAAGACTATTTTCTATTTTTCATCAAAACTTTAAATCAGCTATTTTATAGATAAGATAGTGAAACCATCTAATTTATTTAACTTTTCAATTTATGTATTCCATTTTTAACTTTAAAAAGCTTTAATGTTTTAGAAAAGAATTATGGGACCTCATAAATTCTTAAGGTTATTAATTTTTTTTTAAGTTGTAATTAGACTGATTGATTAAGGGATCGCATATCAGTTTCCAATATATTTTTTTACTCTAATGGGGATGAATTTAAGTAACTTTTTAGCATTATCCTGACTTCTGTAAGAAATTGGTAGTCCTTAAATGTAAAGAAATATTTGAGGGCTTGATGCAATTGCCATTTTGACAATGGTGCCCGTCGTAGAACAACTCCCACGCCATTACATTTGGTATCTACAGTTTTTTTGGCAGTCATTGACGACAAACTATCATACCCGACAAACTATCATACCCGAAACCAAAAGATATGAAAGCCAAATAAGATTAATGTACATCTAGCTCACCATTTATTTTCTGAAGCTTGATTAGATATAATAACACTCATAATACACTTACAACCTTGATCTATTGTAGAAATGTATGTTATAGATAATTAAAAAATTATAAGATCTACTACACAAAATGTGATTTTATAAAACTAAAATAAATTTACAATTCACAATTTCATGCATATAATTCAAATAATTGAATATTTTCAAACCGACCATGGTAATACAGTGTTTTAAGATGACTTCTCAATTATCAGAAACCAAAAATATAATCTCAACTAATACATGTTCATGTTTGTCTCTAATAACAGAAGCCAACATCTTACATATATCAAGATTCGTTTTAAAATTTGAGTCGTCCTTATCTGGTGAATATAATAACTCAGATGAATATTTTTGTTACTTGTTACATACTATTAGAACAGATTCCCAACATTAAGGGAACAAAACATGGATTTGGTAGAGCTACAAATGATGATGATGCAACATGGGAGATTTTTCTGGTTATCAATCAAATTTATAGGGTTTAAGTTTTCTGATTTAGGGTTCGGTAAACTTACAATAAAGTTTACTTTACTGTAGAAGACTTTTCAGTCTACTTTAATTTAAAAATTAATCATTTATAAATTAAACTGAGTTATTTATGAGTTAAAATGAGAAATTATATAATATAAATATTAAAAATAAAGAAATAAATTAAAAATTATATATTAAATTACTAAAATAATAAAAATAGATAAAAATAATGAAATAATCATAGTAAATTTTAAAAAAGTCTACTATGTAGAATTACAATAAATTTACTAAGTAGACTTACAATAAAGTTAACTCCAAAATTTTAATTATAATAGACTTCAAAAGAAGTCTATAGTGTCAAATTTTTTAACCTAGTTACAATTAATTTATCTCCCTATATAAATGAAATTTACACAGTCTCTCTAAAATGACTGAACAAGTTTCTAAAAAACTCTCACTTCTCTCTAAAACTCTCTTCATTCTCTCTAAATTCTTTGAAGGTGAAGATGCATTTTTGTTTAGTTTATGATTTTTTTAATCATGTCTTTTTCAGAATATTATCTTGTGTTTGTAGGTTCATTCATGGTTTTCACATTCCACTCTAAAATTGTAAGTCTTACATCTATTGATTTTATATGTGTATTTTTATGTTCATTTATTTTGCTACTATTTAATCTTAAACATTTTATTTTTGAATTTTCTCACATTAAAAACTATTTTTCACATTTTCAAATGTACATAGTTTTCAGATCTGAAAATTATCCAATATAGTAGACATGTAATGAAGTCTACAAAACTAGGAGTGACTTTTTTGTATAATTTTTTCTCATATTTTTATTTTTATTTTGCTAATATTTTCTTCCATGGTTTTTATCTAATCCTCCCAAAAATGAAAGATTTACGTTTTCAAATATATAATTTTTTCAGATCTGAAAATTATCTCATATAATAGACTTCTAATGAAGTCTACAAGGTTATGAATTTAATTTTTTTGTCTTATGTTTTTCATAGTTTTATCTTTATTTTCCAGGTATTTTCTTCCATGGTTTTTATCTCTTCCACCAAAATTGTAAGATTTACATCTATCATGTGTGTTTTTCTATTTATATTTAAATAAAGTTATGTATTCAAACTCTATGTCTATAATTTACTACTAATTTATTTTCTAAATTTTATTTTCTAAACTTTTTAGATTTAAAATTATTTTCATGTTTGTAATGTATATATTTTTCAGATAATTTTTCGGATTGAGTAGACTACATATGAAGTTTATTAACATTAACTTTTAAACATACTTCATTAGAAGTATACTCAAATACGATTTTAATTTTTTTGTCTTATATTTTTTCATAATTGTATTTTATTTTTCACGTATTCTCTTTCAATGTTTTCAAATCATCTTCCCAAAAGTGTAAGATTTACATATATTCATTTAAAATTTTCATTTTTTGTTTATATAAAACTAAATTATTAGATACAAGCTCTATGTTTTTTCTTTGCTAATTTTAGGTTAAAACACTATTTTGAAATCTTTTGCAGAAAAGACTATTTTCAAATTTTGTAATTGTACATTTTTAAATGTGAAATTATTTTTGGCATGAAGTCTATTTAAAAATTAAGGTTATTAGACTTTAAATAAAGTCTACTAAACCCATAAATTTTAAGTAAAATTTTATGAAGTTTAGTAAAATATAATTTCAATATGTTTACCTTCTGTTTTCTTATAATTTTTTCTTATTTTATAGATACTCTTTTCAAAGATTTCATTTGAGATATCAAGATTATGAATAAGTAAACACTGTTGAGTTTTAAAAAAATTGCTTTGTAATAATTTATCTTTACTAAATTTTCATTTGTAAATAAATATTCTGATACATAATCAATAAATATTGTATTAATTTTTTAATTGTGTTGCACTTGTATAATATTATTAATTTTTGTTAGTAATCAGTTTTTCAGAAAATATTGTAGTCAGCCAAACAGTTAAAATCATCATAAGCTAAAACAACAACTAACACACACAATATTGAATGTGTTGAAATTATGTAATCTGTAGATTTGTTTTATAGCAATTTTAGAGATTTTGAACACAAAGAAAACTAATAATATAAATTAATAAAACTCCAATAGAAATTAAAGAGAATAAATTTTAGTGTTTGTCTACTTTCCTACCTGGGACTAATAAAAAAAGTTTGCTTTTGTTGTACACATTTAAAAAGTCCACATTACGAAAATTTGACTTGTTTAACACTACATAACATTACAGAAAAAGCCTACAAATTAAACATAAGTTCATCACCACAACAACATGTAACTGAGTCATTTCCTATAAAAAATGCAGGTTTACATAGTTAGCGATCATGTTTTAAGAAACTATAGCATAGACTTACAAATACTTTTATAATTATTAGCTAACTACATGATCAAATCAAAGAAACATAATTTCATAATTATAGCATATTTTCTTCTAAAAATCACTGAAACCTATTAGGATTAACTAACATACACTGTCAAACAAAAAAATCTTCAAAAAAACTTAATGAAGAAAACACAATCAAACGTAGACTTCATAATCAGTCTGCGCAACTGTAGATGTTCTTTTCAGTTTACACATGTAGACTGTCAAATATGTCTTCTCTCTGGGTTAGTTTTCGCAATTGGAAATTTTATAGGTTACTTTTCTGTATTTGAAAAAACGTTGTGATTTTATACATGTAGACTCTCATTTCAGCCTACACTTCAAAAATGTTAGTTTTTTTCAATTGACCAAAAATCATCCAAGATTTGAATTTCGGAAGTAGACTTTAGCGGCAATCTACATGTTTGAATTTTTTTGAAAGAGTTTTAGTTTTGCAGTTGACCAATTTTGACTTTCTATAAGTAAACGGAAACAAACGTCTACATGTGTATAGACTTCATACGAAGTCTACTCTCAAATCCGAGGGGTTAGTTTTGCATTTAACCAAAATAAAATAGTAGACTTCATAAGCAGTCAATTTTTTTTTTTAAGATAAGAAGACTGCATGTGAAGTCTATATTTTAATAAATTTTAAAACTTTTTAGTCAAACACAAAACTAACATATTCAACGAAGTCAAAGTTTTGGTCAATGCAAAATTGACCTTTTGCAAACTTCTCAGGCAGTCTACAGTTTGTAAACTTCCAAATCGACAATGAAAAGTCAAAAGTTTGATCAAATGTAAAACTAATCTCTTTAATGTAGATGTCTGTAAGTCTACCCAAAATTTTGTTTTTGTTGTCAAAGATAAAGACGAAGACTTCTACGGTACAAAAAAATTGTTTGGTCAATTCCACAACTGACATGTGCGTTGACAAGTAGACTGCATCGTATGTCTGTGTACAGGCGTTAGTCTACTTTCACGACATAGAACTGAAAATGAACAAAAATCATGTAAATAATTATCTTTTTCCAGTGTAAAGCTCGTTTCCAACCTTCTCAGTCGTTCAAATTCCAAATACGAGCTGAAAGAACCGCTTTTGACTATTCACTAATGATGAAACTCGAAAATATGAACTTTGTGCTTATAAAAATAAAAGTTATGAGAGTTTTTTAGATGAAAATATAGAGGAAATGTGAGAAAATAAAGATTTGTTGGTTTAGCTATTTATGCATTATCTCGATTTTTGATTCGATTTGGTTTGTGTGTACAGAGAAATATAAATTACTCAGATATTTGTGAATAATGGTTCGATTTCAGATTTTGCTTTGTCTAGTTTTGGTTCAGTTTTGTCCTAATTTAAAGCAAGACCATCTATTTGGATGTCATCATATGTGTTTGGATGACATAAACACATATGAACTCAACTAGTATGTAGGCTTACCAAACTTTCCAAGGGATAGGATTTCATTTTTTTCTGTTAGGATATCGTTTTAGACTTTACTCATTAATAAGCATGATTCACAGTTGAAATGTTGTTAACTAAAGCTTATTAGCTCTACGTAGTCTACGTATATAAACTGACTATGTGTCGTATAATTTTATGGGACTATACAGTTTTTATGCCATTTCAATGTGATTTTCTGAATAATAATAATTAAGAAATGATTTTGATTTAGTCAAAGGATGCCAACAATAAAACTTGAATGAGAGAATTTATAAGGTTGCTGATAGAAAGATAGGAATGATTTGCGGAGTATTTGACTTTTTAATCTTTACTTACCTAAATAATCTATTTTATTTATGGCTTAAATATTTCGCTTATTTTAAATTGATTATCTTCCTTTTAAAACGCCACCAAAACTTCTCGTCCGTACATTCTTATAGTCTCTCCGTACAGGTACACAAACACCATATAAGCTCTAACCTCTCTTCTTAACATTTGATATCATTCCCTTCTTCTCCAACCAGATACACAACACATATAGACAAATTAACACACACATATATAAAGATGATATGCGAGGAGACATATCATCAGCAACCACAGGCACCGATCAAGGAACATATGATGACGATGATGATGATGGATCAACACCAAAGTAGGAAATCACCATTATCATCGGCATCATCTCCATCATCATCACCTAGGTCACCATCATCACCTAGATCACCATCCTTCAATAACATTAACAATGAGGAAGAGAGGTTAGAAGTTGTGAATATGAGTGGGATGGCCTTAGAATCTCTCCCTAATCCATCAATCAACTTAGCTCAGATTTGCAAGCTTGATCTCTCCAACAATTATCTTCAGGTTCACATCTAATTACATACATATTTTATACTATATCTTGCATGATTCAATACATATCTATAAGCATGTACAGCTTCATTTCTCTTGGATGGATTATGCAGGTTATAAGCCTCTTTGCAATATTTATGTTTTATTTTCCTTCATTAATCTTAATTTTATTTAAATATTACAATAAGTATGAATAATCTCAGTTTCTTACCTTTTTATTTGATATAATGTATTTTAATGCTGGAGTTATGTTTTACATTTTATACTCCCTCCGTTCCATAATATAAGATGTTGTAGAGAAAATTGATGTTTCAAAATATAAGATGTTTTGATATTTTTAAGGTACTTTAACTTTATAGAGAACCGGTTGACCAATAGTATTTTAGTTTATTATTTATGATTGGTTAATTTATATTAAATTTCTACTATCAATGATGTTATCTTTTAAAAAGTTAAGTTTCTTAATTCTTGTGCTTTGCATAAAACATCTTATATTGTGGAACGGAGGGAGTAGTTTCTTATTTATTTATTTTGAATGTAATACAGACTATACCAGAATCACTTACAGCAAGACTACTCAACTTAATAGCACTAGATGTTCATTCAAATCAGATCAAAGCTCTTCCAAATTCTATTGGTTGTCTGTCCAAGCTCAAGTCCCTCAACGTCTCTGGCAACTTTCTTGTTTCCCTCCCCAAATCTATCCAGCATTGCAGGTATATCCTCATAACTTTGACAAAACTCTCACAACACCCATAAAACATGTACTTACATTGTTCTCTTTCTGTGTGGGTTTATCAGGTCATTGGAAGAACTCAATGCAAACTTCAACAAACTCATCAGATTACCAGACTCAATTGGATACGAACTCACCAATCTAAGAAAACTCTCTATCAACTCCAACAAGCTCATTAGCCTCCCAATCTCCATTACTCACCTTACTTCTCTCCGTGTCCTCGATGCTCGTCTAAACTGCCTAATGATTCTCCCAGATGATCTAGAGAATCTCATCAACCTCGAGATTCTCAATATCAGCCAGAACTTCCAGTACCTTACAGCCCTCCCATCCTCCATTGGCCTTTTAATGAACCTCATCGAGCTTGATGTTAGCTATAACAAGATCACTGTCTTGCCTGAGTCCATTGGCTGCATGAGACGGCTAAGGAAGCTGAGCGTTGAAGGAAACCCGCTAGTGTCCCCTCCCGCTGAGGTGATGGAGCAGAACTTGCAAGTGGTGAGAGAGTATCTGACGCAGAAGATGAATGGTACCTCACCGAGGAGTCCTAACAAGAAGAAGTCATGGGGATTTGGTAAGCTAGTGAAGTATGGGACGTTCAATGGAGGGTCAAGAAGCTGGAATAGGGAGGATAGAGAAGGGTTCATCATGCCTGAGTACCGTTCCATAGACAGTCTTGCTTCGCCGAGGTACTCTGGAATGTTCTCTCCTCGCCGTCTCTTTTCTCCAAGAAATTATTTCAGCAGATGAAAGTGATGACAACAACACAGAGCCTATTGACACATCTGTAGCATCAAAGGCCAAAACTATCAGTAAAATGTATAAAGAGTATCTCAATATGTTCATCAGATTCTAGCTAGATTTCTTGTTTTTTTTTTCATTACATATGCGTGCACCTGGTCTATGTTTTTCTATGCACACAAAATTTTGTTCATGAATAAAGTAACTCGTCTGAAAGCTATTGCCATTTCTACGAAAGACTCGGGATCATTTACAGATGTTAAACCATAACAAACGAGGCTTCACACTCAGTTGTATCCTATACTATTTGATAATCTTATAAAAGAATCTAATAATTTCACATATACTTTTATGATCAGAGCTATGGTACTTGGCATGCCAGATTATTAAACAATAGAATCATAACCAAAGTCTTTGTGACAGCTTAAGTCTTTCACTAGGATTGGAACATTCAAGCCATTAAAGACTTGGCTGTTATAACGAAAACATCTATCTCTGTCATTCAATTGCTACTAATTTTCTGCTTGCGTGATATACACGAAAGTCACGGAGGACCATGAGATCAAATTCATATATTAACCAACCAAAAGATAACACATCAACGGTGGTGGGCTATCTTGAATTCTTCTAATCTGTTTTTTGCCTTTTTTTCTAAAAAATTATTAAGGGAAATCTTTTCTGAAAGAACCATTAAGTACTCACAATGAGTTCTCTGATTTTAAACAAAAGCAACAGATCCAGAAACTGAGATTAAGTTCTTGACAAGAGGCCAAAAGACATCACGTGTCTGTCTCTGTCAATCCCACGTCACGGCAGACCACTAGCACGTGTGCGAATACACTTGCCGTATTCAAGTCTATATGTACATCTTTATTGTAAGTGAATTCATCACACATGCACATGATCTTAGAGAAGATGTTTTGTTTTACACATAATATTCGTTAATATACATCAGTTTTGTTTCATCTCACACAACTTTGTTAACATCGTCATTAGCTTTTTTTTTTTTGGGGTCAAACATCGTCATTAGCTATATCAGAAACTAATCTACACTAAGATTTAATGCAGAAAAAGACAGGAAACAGCTTTCACCTTTTTGGTTTTAAACCGAACAAAAGATTTCTTGCCTAATAAAAGGTACCTACAAATTAGTTGTCATCTTTATATAAATTATATTCTCGTCCTCTTCTTTACCAGCTTGCTATTTTGCATATTTCTTCTGCCTTCTCTTATCAACTTCTGTTTCAGGGTTCCTCTCTTTGCAAGTTTGAGGTAGTTACGTTGTGGAGACAAAAGAGCCTAGAAGGAAGATACATATATAGAATCATGAAGATGTCAAACGCAAGTGATGGCAGTAGAGAAGTCAGAGAACCATTGGTGGACAAGCATGTGGCTGAATCAAAACCGGAACAGCCGTGGATGGTTTATCTGAGCACATTTGTTGCAGTTTGTGGTTCTTTTGCGTTTGGTTCTTGTGTAAGTGAACTTTAGTATCCATTGGAAAGTCACTCACCACCTTTGTTAGGCTTTGATTCTTTTTCTTGGGTTTTGATGCAGGCTGGATACTCTTCACCTGCTCAGGCTGCAATTAGGAATGATCTTTCTCTGACTATCGCTGAGGTGAAAAGAATCTTTTTTGATTGATCATGCATCGCCATTAAAGTTTTTCTTACACACTTACCTCGGGCTTGGCTTCTACAGTTTTCACTCTTTGGCTCTTTACTGACTTTTGGGGCAATGTTTGGAGCTATCACAAGCGGGCCTATAGCTGATTCAATTGGAAGAAAAGGGGTCAGAAGAAAAACTGACTTACATTTTCAATCTGAGTTGACTTTGTGAGACTATATATGACACTTACAATTGTGGATTTGTTGTATCTAGGCCATGAGAGTTTCTTCTGCATTTTGTGTCGTCGGATGGCTAGCTATCTTCTTTGCCAAGGTATTTCTCAGTATACCAAACCACGCCCATGCTGGCCTCATGGTTGTGCTTAATGTATCTCTCTTTTTTGGTGTTGTAATCCAAGGGTGTAGTGGCTCTGGATCTAGGAAGACTAGCAACGGGTTACGGGATGGGAGCATTCTCCTATGTGGTTAGTCACTGAGTTTATTAAACATCTAATCCATTTATGCATGTATCATTCTTGTGTATGATATGTTTATGATCGATAGGTACCAATCTTTATAGCAGAAATTGCACCTAAAGCTTTTAGAGGGGCTCTAACCACATTGAATCAGGCAAACTTCTTTTGTCTCTTTTATTTGTGTGTTGGAGAAATTCTGATCAATGTTTTTCATCTTGTGCCACAGATTCTGATCTGCACTGGAGTGTCTGTTTCCTTCATTATAGGCACATTAGTGACTTGGAGAGTCTTAGCACTAATAGGTTAGAAATTTATGTAATAAGACTAAGTTTTGAAGTCAGAATCATTTGTTAATGTGAGATGGTACTTTGGTTTCAGGACTCATCCCATGTGCTGTCTCCTTTCTTGGCCTCTTTTGTATCCCTGAGTCTCCAAGATGGCTGGTAAGAGCTTAAGAAGCACCATGGAACCTCGTGTATCTTTTTCTTGGGAATTTAATGGATTGTGCAACGTGTTTATAGGCAAAGATGGGACGTGATACAGAGTTTAAAGCTGCACTAAGGAAGCTCCGTGGGAAGAAGGCTGATATATCTGAGGAGGCAGCTGAGATTCAGGTTTTTTGAGTCTTGCATTTTTGTTTCTTCTGAATCAAGAAACCATCTCTTGATCTGAAAACACGTCTCTTATCATTCTTTGACAGGATTATATCGAAACCCTTGAAAGGCTTCCCAAAGCCAAGGCCCTGGATTTGTTTCAGAGGAGATACATACGCTCTGTTATTGTAACACCATAAAATAACGTTTCATTACTTTGTTGTCACGCTGCATATGTAGTAAGTAACCAAGTGGATGATGTGTTTGGAGCAGATAGCATTTGGACTGATGGTGTTTCAGCAGTTTGGAGGCATCAATGGAATATGTTTCTATACAAGCTCAATATTTGAACAAGCAGGTTGCTTAACATAGAGATCATATACTACACAGCTTCACTTGTATCTTAATCTGCCCTCCTTGTGTGACAGGTTTCCCCACAAGACTTGGGATGATAATATATGCTATTCTCCAGGTTCCATCTTATTTATCTAACGAATACAAGCCCCTTGTTGTAGAACGCTTATAGTATTAATCTCTCTCTCTCTCTCTTTTTCTTGTTTTGGTTACAACCAGGTGGTAATAACTGCGCTTAATGCACCAATAGTTGACAGAGCAGGAAGAAAGCCATTGCTTCTGGTAAAAAAAATGATTTTGAAAAGATTTAGAAAGGATGATTATATAACTAACTAGAAGGAGTTGTGGTGGCAGGTTTCTGCAACAGGGTTAGTGATAGGATGTTTGATCACTGCAGTCTCATTCTATCTCAAGGCTCACGACATGGCACACGAAGCAGTGCCAGTCCTTGCTGTCGTTGGTATAATGGTAAGTAATCAAGTTTGAAGTAATTTTTTCACCAACCCAAATAGGTTGTTAAGATATGTTGGTGAGTGCAGATGTACATAGCATCATTTTCAGCAGGAATGGGAGCAATGCCATGGGTTGTCATGTCTGAGGTAAATACAAATCAAACCCTTAGCAAGAAACCTGAGAGTGATTTTTTACTTACCAAACATAATTTTGGAATGTGCAGATATTTCCTATAAATATAAAAGGAGTAGCAGGAGGCATGGCGACACTAGTGAACTGGTTTGGAGCTTGGGCTGTTTCTTACACTTTTAACTTCCTCATGTCTTGGAGCTCTTATGGTAAAACTAGATTACCTCCTTCACTTTTTTGTATCATTGTATGACACTTCCTCATGCATGGCAATCCTTGAAATGAGAAAAAAAATGTTTGCAGAACTTTTTGTCTATGCTATATCATTCACACTTGTCTGAAATTTTTACAGGAAACTCTTAAATCTTTCATAACTGTTTGCAGGAACGTTCATCATTTACGCGGTGATCAACGCACTGGCCATTGTCTTTGTCATCGCAGTGGTGCCTGAAACCAAAGGGAAGACACTGGAAGAGATCCAAGCTGTGGTCAATCCATAGTTGAATAGATTTTTATTCTCCTACATTTTGATTTCTATGTTCCTTATCTTACAACTCAAGGACATTAAGTACCAATCTTGAATGCTTTTAAAAATGCTTTTTAAAACTGTTATATCTTTCTTTCTTTTTTTTTTGGAAGATTTCTCAAATATAACTCAAAACTTGATTTTAAATACAAAAATGTATCACAACTCAAATCAAATGCAAAAATAACTTTTCTAGTGAAATTACAAACATTCTCTCATGACAAAACAAAAAAAAACAAGATTGTAATTTACTACTAGATTTTGACCCGCGCTTGAAAGCGCGGAAATTTTTTTTGATTAAAAGTTTATATAATTAAGTTTTGTCTTTATTTAAAATATTTTTTGGTATAAAATCAGTAATCCAAAATTTGTGGTGATGATTGCTTTGCATTAGTTTTTAGTTTCAGTTTTTATTTTTAGATTTGGTTATAGATTTTGGTTTTGGTTTTTAATTTTTAAGTTTCTAGTTTTGATTTTCAGCTTTTGGTTTGGGTTTTTAGCTTTTAGATCCGCTGAGTTAGTTTGAACTCATAATTACCAACAAACAAATCTCAAAGAATCGAACATCTAACTTAAAACTGAAAAGATGAGAATTTTTATTTTAAAAAAAAGAAGTTTATTTTGTGTAAACAAACAAAACAAAAGCAAAATATAACATGCGTTTTCAGCTTTTGGTTTAGGATTTTAATTTTTAGATTTGGTTTTTAGTTTTGCTTTACATTTATTTTTTTAAAAATCAGTAAATTATTTAAGAAAAATAAAAAAATAAACTATTATAAAAGTTACCATTGAAATTTATCAAGATGTGGGAACCGAAATTCACACTTGTCGATTTCCGTTAAATAAGGAAACTTAGGAAAACCCTAATTTTCTAGAGGAACCGGATCTCTGCGAAAGCCAACGACAAGTAACCAATTAAATGCGGAAAAATATGAAAAACATAATAAAACGAATTTATAAAGAAAGTCGATCTTATTTCCGATTCGCGTAAGAGCGTTGCGATCATTACAAGGAATTACAAAGGCTTTGGCCGCAGGGGCCATCAGC